TTCATATTAATAAATATTTCCCTTGAACAAATCTAAGCATCCAAATATACCTCTGTTCTTATCAGAGGCAACTCTTTAACCCTTAGCTTATTTGCAGGACAGACATGACACACAGTCCTGTCTACTGACTCAGCCTAGAGCTCCATCCATTCCTCTAGTGGGGAGAACTGGAAACCCATTTCAGAGGAGGCTTTGTGATCACCAAGAAACACAGTTTGAACTGAGGTCTTTTAAAATACACAAAGAGCTCATGCAACTCTATGTCAAAAAAACCCAAACAACCCAATCAAAAAATGAGCAGAAGATCTAAAAAAGACATTTCTCTAAAGAAGACATACAAATGGCCAAAAAGCACATCAAAAGATGCTCAGCATCACTAATTGTCAGAGAACAAGGCATCGCCTCATACCAGTCACAATGCCATCATTAAAAAGTCTACATACAGGAGAACAAGATGGCAGAGGAGTAGGTGGACGTGGAGTACATCTCTCTCCACAGATAAATCAGGAATACACTTTCAGACACAAGTGCATGCAGAATACCAGTTAAGAACAGACAGGAGTACCTGACCAGTGGAAAAGAATATATAGAACCACACAAAACTCGGTAGGACAAAGGAACTAGGGGGAGAAACAGGAGGATTAGTAGGGCTGGGCCTCCCCTCGAGGGTGGGGGAACTGAAGCAGGGATCCGATCCCCACAGCGGGGCAACCGTCTGAGTCAGAGGAGAAACATTTAAGGCTGACAGTGAAACAGCTGATCTGTGGCAGCCTGAATGGAATGATAATCAGACAGTCCTTGCCACAGCCAAACATAGCCTGGACAGGGATGCGGGTCTCTGGAAGGCACAGCGGCTGGGAGCTGGAATTTAGGGATTGTGGAGTAATCCCAGGGCGAGGACTGCTGTTGACTGGAGAGACAGATTGAGAGGATGTGAGGGAGGCGACTGTGGTGCGAAATGCCTGTGGAAGAAAGCCAGGCAGCCCTGGAAGCAAGGTGATACTGCTGAGTCACATGTAGGGGGTGAAGCCATCACCACAGCCTCTCTCCCGGCTCACCAGCATCCCCAGCTGAGCAACTGAGAGGCTGGCCCATCAAACGCATGATGCACTGAACTAGTAGGACCTCACCCAGGGTACTCCTTTAAGTGACTGATGCACCAAACTACAGAATAGGACCCCACCCAGGGTGCACCTTAAAATGCCTGATGCACCGAACCACAGAGTAGGACCCCAGCCACGGGGGCCCCCCTCTAAGTGCCTGAACGGGCAGAGCTACGGAGAAGACTGGCCAAGGAGGGCTTCTGATCCCCAGCTACAAGAAGCTCGATAAAAGACTCAGATAGGGCCATAATTCCTGGGATGGAGGCAGTCCGTGTCCCTGCACACTTTGTATTGCCAGGGTTCCTGCAAGCCAACCACCTTCATGCTCAACTCTCACTGGGGCTGAGCTGCCACCAGCAAAAAAAATCTTGCATCTACACGTGCAGGGTAGCTTCAGTCGTGTCCAACTTTTTGCGTCCCCGTAGACGGGGTCACACAGAGTTGGACATGACTGACAGGACTTAGCAGCAGCAGCAGACTGTGGTCTACCAGTCTTCTCTGTCACGGGGGTTCTTCAGGCAAGAATACTGGAGTGTATTGGCCAATACTGGTCACCATACCCTTCTCAGCTCAGTTCAGTTGCTCAGTCATGTATGACTCTTTGCAACCATATGAACCACAGCACGCCAGGCCTCCCTGTCCCTCACCAACTCCCAGAGTCCACCCAAACCGATGTCCATTGAGTCGGTGATGCCATCCAACCATCTCATCCTCTGTCGCCCCTTTCTCCTCCCACCCTCAATCTTTCCCAGCATCAGGGTCTTTTCAAATGAGTCAGCTCTTCGCATCAGGTGGCCAAAGTACTGGAGTTTCAGCGTCAACCTCAGTCCTTCCAATGAACACCCAGGACTTATCTCCTTTAGGATGGACTGGTTGGATCTCCTTGCAGTCCAAGGGACTCTCAAGAATCTTCACCAGCACCACAGTTCAAAAGCATCAATTCTTCAGCGCTCAGCTTTCTTTATAGTCCAACTCTCACATCCATATATGACCACTGGAAAAACCATAGCCTTGACTAGATGGACCTTTGTCAGCAAAGTAATGTCTCTGCTTTTTAATATGCATACCCTTCTAGAGCACTGTATTTCCTGCTGCCCTAGCCGCCAACCTCCCTGAGTACCTGGTGCTGCCAGAACCCCTGAGACCGAAGCAGCTGCACCACCTCCACCCCTGGCCCTCACAGAGGCAAACCCAAGTCCTCCAAGGCAGCCTCAGCAGCAAACCCCAGTGGACAACCCACATACAGAGGTGCAAATAAAACCGCAACTGAAACCAAGGGGCAGTGTGGCTAAGGAAGAAGACCCCAGACCTTCCCACCAGCTATACGAGCTGCAGATGAAATCCACACAATCAACTGGGCAGGAACTCTGTGTCTATGGAATATATAAAAGGACATTGAGAGCTCCCACAAAAGAAAACACCCTAGTTCTGACAGCTGTAGACATTGGAGGCAAGAACACAGAGGAGTAGGACCAGATTAGAATCTGAGCTGCCCCCACAGCAGGTCCAGAGACCAGCGCAGTGTTGGAGGGCTTCTTAGGGAGGTAAGGTGGGCTGTGACTCCCAGCAAGAGAAAGACTCTGACAGCACTGACTCAAGAAAACATTTATTATTCCTATGTTTTCACTTGTTCTGTAGATTCTTTTAGATACTTTTTTCTTTTTCTTTCCTTTTCTTTTCCCCCTCTGTTGTAGTTGTGAATTTTAATGGCATTATAAAATCTAATTAAGCTTTTGAGCTTTTTTTCTTCCTCAGTCACATTTTTAATTATTGTCATAAACCTCTACCTCTACATTGGGCTTTTGCAGTTCTGTGGAGTTTTCCCTTTTTTTCTTTTCTCTTTTTTTAATTTAATTTTAATATTTTTAAACCTATTATTTTTTTCCTACATTTATTCCTTCATTTGTTTTTCCTACTGTTCTTTACCCCTTGCAGCTAATCTTTAATGTACATAAATATTCTTTATCTATCTCTGTTTAACTTTGCATATCTATTCTTTCTTTTCTTTCCTCTGAACATATTTGTTAGTTTTATTTTCATTGCTTTATTCCCCAATTGGCACCTTGCTTTAGTTTTGCTTCCCAGTTTGTATTTTAGTTAGTTTTGTTCTTAACTGGTAGATACAATTTTTGGTTTCCTTTGTTCACTGGGTCAATCTATTATACTTTATTTTTGTTGGACTGTTTTGATTTGTTTATGGTTGTATATCTATATGTGTATATTCAGTCACACTTTTTATTGTTGTCATAAACCTCTGCTTCTAAATTGGGCTTTTGCAGTACTGTGAAGTTTTCTCCCCCTTTCTTTCTTTTTTTCTTCCTTCTTCCTTTTTTCTTTTCTCTTCTTTATAATTTTAACTTTTAATTTTTTAAACCTATCATATTTTTTCTACATTTATTCCTTTGTTTGCCTTTCCTACTGTTCTTTTCTCCTTGTAGTTAATCTTTAATGTATATACATCTTCTTTATCTATCTCTATCAACTTTGCATATCTCTTCTTTCTTTCCTTTCTTTCTTTCCTTTCCTAGGAATAAAACCACCATATGACCCAGCAATTCCACTCCTAAGCATATACACTGAGGGAACCAAAACTGAAAAAGATACATGCATCCCATTGTTCATTGCAGCACTATTTACAATAGCTAGGAAGCAACCTAGATGTCCATTGACAAATGAATGGATAAAGAAGTTGTGGTATATATACACAATGGAATATTACTCGCCATAAAAAGGAATGCCTTTGAGTCAGTTCTAATGAGGTGGATGAACCTAGAACCTATTATACAGAGTGAAGTCAGAAAGAGAATGACAAATATCATAAAATCTAGAAAAATGATACTGAAGAATTTACTTACAGGGTAGCAATGGAGAAACAGGCATACAAAATAGACTTGTGAATATGGGAAGAGGGGAGGAGAGGGTGAGATGTATATAAAGAGCAATATGGAAACTTAAATTACTATATGTAAACTAGATAGCCAACAGGAATTTGCTGTATGGCCAAGGAAACTAAAACAGGGGCCCTGTATCAAACTAGAGGGTGGGATGGGGAGGGAAATGGGAGGGAGTTTCAAAAGGGAGGGGATATATGTATACCTATGGCTGATTCATGTTGAGGTTTGACAGAAAACACCAAAATTCTGTAAAGTCATTATCCTTCAATAAAAATATATTAATTTTTTAAAAAGTCTACAAACAATAAATTATGGAGCAGGTATGGAAAAGAGATACTGCCCCCCCACCCCACCCCTGCCAACACTGTGGGTGGGAATATAAATTGACACAACCACTGTGGATAAGATCATGGAGGTTCCCAAAACAACTAAATACTGAACTATCATATGATCCAGCAATCCCACTCCTGGGAAAAACCATCTGGAGAAAAACATAATCTGAAAGGATACGTGCATCCCAGTATTCATTGCAGCACTGTTTACCATAGCCAAGACACAGAAACAAGCTAAATGTCCACCAACAAAGGAAAGAATAAAGCAAATGTGGTACATATACATAATAGAATATTACTGAACCATCAGAAAAAATGAAATAATGCCATTTGCAACAACAGGGATAAACCTGGAGATTATCATACTAAATGAAACAAGTCAGAGAAAGGCAAATATATAATCTCACTCATACGTGGAATCTAATTTTTTAAAAAAATGAAACAAATGAGCTTATTGACAAAACAGAAACAGACTTATAGATACTGAAAACAAACTTATGGTTACCAGGGAACTCTACTCAGCATTCTGGAATAACTTATATGAGAAAAGCATCTAAAAGAGAATGAATATATGTACATGTACAGTTGAATCACTTTGCTGGACACCTGGAACTAACATAGCATTGTAAATAAACAATACTCCAATAAAAGTAAAATGAAAAAAAACCTACCATTCGAACACCGTTTTCGAAGGCTTGCCGGGTGAGTGGCGCTGGCCCATCCACAGTCTTGCCATCATCATCTGGACCCCAGCTTGCACTGTATATATGCACATGCTGGGGATTGAAGCTCACTGATTTTGCTTCAACCATATCCGTGACATCTCCATCCAGCATTCGGACTCCTTCAAGACAGAAAGGAGAAGCAACTCGATTAGAAGCTTTCCCCAAACAGACGAAGACATATTTCAACTGCAGCATTTTTAAACGGAAACTACATTGTATGTAAAAGATCAAAACTTCTTTACCAATTGTTTTCTTTTTCTAAGTTTCCACATTCTCTCCCTTCTCTTTATCCCTGTCTTAAATGCATACTTGACAAACAGAGCCTCAAGCAATCCATCTTCCCTAAACTTCTCTTCATTAGGTTCCTTGTACTCATAATTGGTATAAAACATTCTAACCTAGGCAGGCTTCAAAAATTTGGAAAGCTGCCAAGTTGGAGTGCTCCAATTTCCTCCATACTTAATATTATCTCCTAATCTGAAATACTGATGTGAACTTAATATATGACTTCTTTGCCAAGTTATTTATTAAGTCAAATAATAAATGAGAATGCCCTCTGTGCATGTAACACATCAAATAATTCTCAAAGGGTTTTGGCAATGTTTAGTCATTAATCTTCATGTAAGTATTCCCACCAGACAGATAGGAACTTATTATTAACCTTAATTTGCTAAAGTAGGCTAAAATCTTAAACATAAATTTTATGTCAAAGCTTTCTTTCTTCTTTTAATTTTATAGACTCACAATAGCAATGAAACATCTAATTGTTAAGTAAACATATCTTTCCTTCAGCTGAAGCTACATATACCATCACTGAGACATCACAGTATTTTAAAATTGTATCTTTATAGCTCAAATTTACTCCTTAGGAAAATGTTGTTATCTAGTAGGATTTCAAGTTTTATTGGTTACTAATAAATGAGGATTAAATAATAAAACTCTAAATCAGGCAGCTTTAGAGGCAATGTGGCTTGAGGAACTCTGGTAGAATATAAAAAATATTCTTGAAGGATGTATATATAGGAATATATATAAATAATATATATTTTTTGTGCTTTTAAAAATGTTTAACTTAAAATTACAAACATAGAAAAACACAAAGAATGACAATGAACCCAGATATAGCCCTGGCTCAACAACTGTTCACATTTTGCCACATTTTCTTTATCTAAAAATATAAATATTAAGCTAAACCATTTAAACTTACATGACATATATGACACTATCCTTTGTTTCCAAAAAAGGAAAGAAAGAAACACCCACTCAACCTTAAATCTCCCCAAAGCATCCCTAAAGATTTTGGCTACTGTATCTCATGACTATCTTTTCCTCTAGACTAGCATATTTTTAAAGGAGATGTATTATATATACACAGGTGGGTTTCCCAGGGGCTCTGTGGTAAAGAATTCCGCTGCCAATACAGGAGATACAGGAGACAGGGGTTCGATCCCCGGGTCAGGAAGCTCCCTTGGGAGAGGAAATGGCAACCCATTCCAGTATTGTTGCCTGGAAAACCCCATGGACAGAGGAGTCTGGCGACTACAGACCATCTGATCACAAAGAGTTGGACCCAACTGAGCACACGCACTTAAAAAATGGGTGATGTCAAAAACAAAGGTTTTGAACAGACCCTTTTAAAAATTACCGGAATGGAAAAGATACTTTGAAAACTCCGTCAGGAGTTTATTCTGTGGGAGAAAATCACCCAGTGGGATGCTCGGCACACACTGGGTCCTCAGCAGTATCAGACTCTCTTGATTTGATATGAATATTCAAAACTCATCTGCATGGTTTTCACCAAGTAAGATGAACTACTTCATATTCTTACTTTCTATTTAAAAGCATAAAACCGAACTATTTCACCACTACAGGGAGGTCTGAAATAATCTAACCAGTATGTCTAAACATGGGAGTGTCTACACATCTGAATTTGGTTTCCACATCATGAAATTCATGTGAAGTCCATGAAAACATGCTTGATAAGATTGTATCTACAGGGTAATATTAATTTTCTGACCAAAAATTGATAAGAAGTTTATTTTTGCAAGTTTAAAGATGAATGGTTACTTATTTTTCATTTAATTGAGTGCAAGACTTCATGCCTTGGATCTGGAGGGGTTAAATTTATAATTTAGAAGGTTCTTATTTTCAGGATGACTGAACATTCGTCAGGCATTGCCATACATTCATTTTTCTAGGTCTTATCAGCTAGGTGAGCAGCTTATCTGTGAGGTTCAGAAGTTCATGCCTTCATTTCCTCAAGGTCAGAAGTGCTGGGTTAGCACGGAAGAGTAATGGCAGGGACCTGGCAGTGTCTCCCTGGAGGAGGAAATGGCAACCCACTCCAGGATTTTTGCCTAGAGAATCCCATGGACAGAGGAGCCAGGCGGGCTACAGTCCATGGGGTTGCAAAAACTTGGACATGACTGAGCGACCAATACTGAGAATGTCTCTGTATGTATGAATGCGTGTGTGCTGGCCTGCAAGGAGGATTGACTGGACAGCCACTGTAGTTATCTGATTAACTTGAAGAGAGCAGCGGCCTCTGGCAGCCTCACGATTCTGCAGAGGACATCTGTCTCCTTTCCATAACTCCTCTAGGAACGTTTCACTTGACACACAGCAGATGCTCTCAGAGTATAGCTAATTACTGGTTAACAAGCTGCCATACTCTAAGAAACCCAGGTGAAATAAAGAGAAGAAAGAGGTTGAATCTACTGACAACTGACAGACAAGATAGTCTCAGAAAACATTTTCTTAGCATCATTATCATATACCTCAATTATTTCATGCTATAAGAGGTCTACATTTACTTTAGAAAGGTCTATTATTTTTATTTTTTAGATCTGGTGGTTCAGGTGGTAAAAAATCTGCCTGTAGTGCGGGTTCGATCCCTGGGTCGGGAAGATCCCCTGAAGAAGGGAACAGCAACCCACTCCGGTATATTTGCCTCAAGAATTCCATGAAGAGAGGACCCTGGTGAGTTATAGTCCATAGGGTCACAAAGAGTTGGACATAACTGAGCAACTAACACTTTCACTTTCACCATTTGGAGACAAATATTATGCTGGAAATGAGGATGTCAGCCTAATTCCAGGAACTTCATCTTAAGAAAGTCTTCAGGAGATGCCTAGGTGAATACTTTCAAAGCCAACAGGATCTACATATCTCTTATAATGTTTTCTTTCCATTTGTGTGAGGCTGTGGCACCAGGTTATACTAACAAAGATGATTGTACATGGGAAAGTGAGAGCTTGCTTCTATTAATATCTGAATTTATACTGCTTGGATTGGGTAAGTATAGTAAGTATAGGCATATTTGAGTTTGTGTGTGTGTATATACTATCTATAATCTGCAATTACTAATGGTAATATTACTATACTCTTTCAAAAGGAGATCTTACTATTTAAACTGAAATTAAAAGAAACTTTTTGTAAAGCCTAAGGGAAAGAAAAAAAAATATTTTGTTTGACAGAATTTCAAAATGCTTTTTTCTGTAGAGATAATCTGGCCTGGTGTTTATCTTTTTAGTTCTTTCTGACCTAGGTACCAATTTCACAGTTCCATATAGACGCTAGTGACTCCATTTTTGCTATTGGACAAGCTTCTTTCATTTTTATTTAAAGAAAGATTTCTATGTCTGCAGCACTTCAGGGTGCTGCTTCAAAGTCTCTGTTTTAATAACATAGGTTGACACAGTCATTTTGCTGTCAGCAGTAGTTGAACACTGTTATGCAAACATATGTTTGTCTTTAGTTCAGAAAGCGTTCTGAAGACAGTTAGCAGGAGAACTCTTGGCTCATTTCTACGTCCACAGGAGTCTGGGTCCCATACCTCCGATCTTGGCGTTGAAAGCAATGCCCACTGTACAGTGAGAGTTGTTTGCTGCGGCGGCCACCTCTCCAGCGCAGCGGGTCCCGTGCCTGCAGGGAGAACACACACACTTTCTAAAGGAAGACACCTCATCCGCCCAACCTCAGCAAGTCCTTGCTGCCATTCAGACCTCAAAGTGGTGAAGGATGTAGCAAGCTGTGGGTGTTTCTGGAACTTCCTACCCATGTAGCACTTAGTCTGTCCATAGCAAACTTTTAGCACTTAATTCTATTCTATTTTGGGTTATATTTTTATATGCTTATTTTTTGATATCTTGCTTTCTCAACTAGAAAATCCCCTTGAAGGCTAAAATCAAATTGTACGTTTCTTTGTATTTTCTGAACTTTCAACATCCAACATGGTAACCACTAGCTGCGTAAGGCTAATGGATACCTGAAATGTGGCGAGTGTGACTGCATATTAATTTTAATTTTAGTTAAAATTAAAAACTGGTACTCAATTATTAAAAAACTCAAGAATGTGAATATAAGAAGTACTTTGTAAACTGGAAATTTAAATACACATCAAGGATCTCCAATAAAAATTTATCATCTAAAATGGGACTGCTGTAAATACAAACAGAATTTCAAAAACCTTGAGTCAAAAGACACCATAAAATAATGTATTAGCATTCATTTATTTTATGTCAATTACATGTCAAAATATCATACTCAATACAATATATTATCAAAACCTATTTCACCTGTTTGTTTCCACCTTTTTCCTGCTTTATCAAGATGTAACTGACAGTAAAGTACAAAATTTTTCTGAAAGATATTTTGTTAATTCTTACCATGATAACAGTTCTTTGATCAGAAAAACCATTTAGCTGAAAGGACTTCTCAGATCTTATCCAAGGATTGCAAAGAAGTGTCAAGTGCAAACGGCAAGCTTTTTAAAAATGGCGACCTAATACAGTGTATACTGAGAATAATTCTAAGGTATGGTTGAGCCTAGAGAAAGAAATTGAGGACTGATGACTAATGCCTGCCCTGGGTGCAGGAAGCGGGTGACAGCCATTGTGGTGTAGTTCTATGATGATGAAATCCAAAGCTCACCTTCTTTCCTACATTTTGAGAAATGAGTTAAGGAGGCCCTGAGATGTAAAGAGATCTGTCAAAAATAGCTCAACAGTGACTAAAACTGAGGACCCCAAATTCTGTTTTAGTACCATTTATTTTACAGTATATTCTACGCAGTCATCATGGGATATAACTACTATCTGTGCAACTATAAACAAGTTGCTGCTTACAACTGATAGGTACACATCAGTTTATACAAGAGATATACTGCTTTTACCACTTAGTAATGTCATATATCTATCTCTTTCCACACAAATATTAATCTATATATCACTTAAATGGTTACAATTATTCTTTGCAATCTTTTAAATTTCTATAAAATGGCATAAACCTATATACACATACCTATATATGTGTGTGTACACAGAAATCATAATTTTATTCCTAGAAATGTACCCATTTTTCGCTAGTATTAATGAAATATAAAAATAATAGCTTGTATATACATTTTAAATATCTTGGGATAAATTTCTAGAAGTGGACTTACTGGATCAAAGAGTACAGAATATACTGTCAAAATGTCAACAGAAGATGAAAGTAGTATAACTGAACCTCATAAAAATGGCAAGACTGATAAATATTATTACAAAATACCAAATTGTTATGCATGACAAAAAGAAAAGATAGGCCATAAGCCAAGTTGGATGACAATAGGAAGAATGGAGAAAATATCTAGACAAACCTCTGTGTACATAAACCCCTATATATGAGTTTTTCAATCTTTTTCATCCTTGCCAAACTGAGTTGAAAAATATCTCATCGTCACTTCCCTCTTTATCCCTTATGATTACATTTGTTGCTATGCATCTTTTCAAATATTTATTAGCTATTTCTATGTCTTGCCTTGTGAATAACCTCTTCATGCTTTTTTGCCCAAATCACTCATTGCCTTTCCATCATATCTGTTATAAATATGTTTCCAAATGTTTTATTTGGAACATGAAAATCTTGTTTATGGCATTTTTAAGTTGTCACACACAATATTTAATCTTGATATACTCATAATTATCTTGCCCCCTGATACTTGGTTATACCACTTTCATCATTAGAAAAAATGATCTCTTTTTTAAAAAGTACTTCTTCTGGAAGCCCCAAGCTAAACTACTAATTTTCCCCTGAGCATAGCAATTATTTACTATGATTTTTTATTAGCCTCTTGTTGCATATTACTTCCTGGTATAGGTTATTTTTATTCAAATGTCAAATTCCTTTTATGAGTTTACTGTTTTTACACTACATTGCATCTATTATTAATTAATGCGAGTTCTACAGGAGCATAAGGACATCTGTTTTTAATTCTGCCCTGGTTTATTCTTAGGCCCATGGGTTGGTTATTAAGAAGTATGACTTAAATTTTTTGAATGTTTGCAGCTGTTATATTTTTTATAATCAATAACTTAATTAACTTATGATAAAATAATATAATCTTTATGAAGCAATCATTTGAATTTTGTGAGCGCACAAAATGGTGAAGTATGTGATCAATTTTTATAAATGTTCTATGTGGTTGAAAAGACGTATATTTTCCAATTATTCTAGATAAGTCCATCATGTCAAGCTTGTTCATTATTTTGTGGATTTGTTAATATTCTTTGTGGTTCTATCAATTTTTATTGCCTTGAGAATGGAACTATCAAATCTTTCTAGTGAAACAAATTGTTTATGAATATGTAATAACACTTATGTTTCTTAAATAAAATTAAAGATATCTGGTTAGTATTTAAGTTATAAACCACTTGATCCTTTTACTTTCAAATATTCTGTTTATATTAGTTATACCTCATAAATAGAATACAATTTTTTAAACCCTGGCAATCTTTGTTTTTGACTCAAGAGTTAGTCCATTTATATTATCTAAGTATTCATATACACATAATCATTTCTGTATTTTTCCCCTGTAATAGTTTGGATGTTATACATTCTATTATTTAGTGCTTATCCTAAGCACTTATGGATACCTAAGATCACAAAGCTACTGATACTTTTTTCAACTTTTCCCAAACAGTACAGATGTCAGAATGTTTTAAATCTGATTATCCAGCTCTTGACATGATCCTCCCATAATTATAGTTACACATTGGATTTTTTTTAACACTAGAAATCACCCACTACTGTTCTACTTTAAACAATCACTGTTTGTTTAGATTTACATTTCTTGCTTTGTTTTTTTTTTTCTTTTTTGGTAGCACATATTTCCTTTTGGGATCACTGATTTCTTTCTGAAGATCATTCTATAAATGTACCCATCAGAGAGACTTTTGATAGCCTCAGAAAATGACTTTACTTTACTGCTGTTCTTAAAAACTAATTTCAATGGATATAGTTAAAATAGTAAGAACAGATACTACACTCAATCTTAGCCAAAAGGTAGAGAAGCATTTTTTCAGTGGGTATAGAATTCTAGACTAATAGCACTTCAAAGATGCCATTCCACCATTTTTTAACTTCCCTTGTTTCTGGTGAGAAGTCAGCCATCTGGCAATCTAATTCTCTGGATGCTTTTCAGATCTTTGCCTTTTCTATTCTGCAGGTTCATTAAGATATTGTATGTGTGGATTTTAAAAACCTCTTTCTTGGAATTCCTAAACCTGTAGTTTAACATTTAAATTTTCATAAGTCTCAGCTAGTACCTTGATGTATGCCTTTATATCATTCTATGGTTCTTATCAGAATACCAATTAAGCATACATTAGACCTTTTCACACTTTTTAAATCTTTATCTCACCTTCAGGCTTCCCACATACATTACTCTCCTGACTGTGTTCTCCGTAACTTGCTCAATCCTATATTTCACTTATCCTGTCTTTAGCCATGACTAACCTGATATTTAATACACTCACTGAATTATTCTTTTCAGGTACTGAATGCTTTATTTTTGAAGTTATTTTTTCAAATCCCCCTGGTTAATTTGAATAGTCAATTTTTCTTAAAAATGCTTTTCAATATTTGTTTCTTGATACAAATAAATTATATATAAATAATAATTCTAAGTAGGTGAATCTATTTCTGCTATTTGTGGTTTTCACTGGCTTGTCTTTACAGCAATGTTTACTCCATGCAGTTGGTGAATTGTCCATTTAGAAGATCGTGCTGTTTAGGCTTTTATCTTTAAATTCTTTGAGGATGGTATGGAAAACTCATTTAAAACTGATTTAAATTCACTTCTAACACATGCCTTGGGTCACACCAACCAGGACCTGTTTCACCAAATTAAATTTGTGGGCCATACGAGTAATGTGGATTACAGAAGCAAATTCCACAAGAACTGTGAGTTATTCTCAAAAGTAGTTATCTATTTATCCCTTTGTCCCATCTATTAACCAGGGAGAGAAAGTCAAACACATTGTTTCACTTCCCATGTAGGATTTCTTTTTCTGTTTATTGCACTGAAGACAGTACTTCAGTGATTCCACTTTATGCAGGAAGCTTCTCTCAGCCCTTTGGACCAAAGCCTTGTCTCCTGCTATCTCTGGACTTCTAAAATTCAGCTCCAGGCTGGTTGGGATTGGTTAGTCACCCTGGGAAATGCCTGGTGTTGCTCATCTAGTTTATAGATTTGAGGTTTCTCAGAGAAATACCCTAGCACCCCATTAGTTCAACCATGCACTAAGAAGTTCTTCAATATTTTCCCATGAGTTTTAGATATACTGGGGGAGGAAAGATTTAATTGAATATCTGTTCTACCATATTACTAAAAAAATAGAAGCAACTTGGTTCTGTATTTCTAAAAGCCCTGTTCCTATTATGTGCCTCATTCATGTACAGTAAATGTTTGTAGGTGAAGAACACAGTGAATATTTTCCTTATAAAAACATTTCTTCTGTACAGGGCTCTACATCATGATATGTGGACTATTTTGAGGAGACAGGCAAGTTATACTCTACTGCTGACACATATATTTTAAATATCAGTTAAATCATATATTTCAGCATACTGTAATTGAGGGTCCAAATTGCAGCTCAACTGCA